GTCACATATATATATATGTGTGATTATATAATATATATATAAAGTAATAATGTCTGCTTCATTCTACTATCTTTCCTATCCCCACAGCCCTTCCCCTTCCCTCCCATCACTTCCCTCTACCTAATCTATGGTGACGTTATTCTTCCCCAGTGCCTCCTGCCTTATTGTGAATTAGTATTCGCATGTTAGAGAAAACATCCGGCCTTTGGTTTTGTGGAACTGGCTTATTTTGCTTAGCATGATATTCTCCAATTCCAACCATTTACTGGCAAATGCCATAATTTACTCATCTTTAAAGCTGAGTAATATTTCTCTGAGTATATATACCCCATTTCTTTATCTATTTATCTAAGCATTCAGATGCAGGAAGGGTCACTACTTTTCTAAGGTTTCTAGTTTTTTTGACAGGATGTGTAGAGAGTCTGGCAGATATGTGGACTGTAATCTAAAGAATTCTGCCAGAAGACAGCAGCCTCAAGTACATACCATCTTCAGTAAAATTCAACTTACTGTGCCCACTTCTGCAATGTACATAGGCATGAAGCAACACTAGCCTTAATCTCATGGGACCATACACTAAGTCAAAGAAATTCACTCATTTATTAAATACTGTCTTTGGATCTTCCACATACTTCCATAAGTGTGTACAGAAGACCAGGAGGCTGACTATCTTTCAGTTGGTGATTCTTTGCAACAAGATATCTAAAACTGGGATTTGCATATCTTACCTTCTATACTCAGGACAAAATTTAAAAAAAATTCAAAAATAGAAAAAAAAAAGCAAAGAAAAATGACTGCTAATGAAATATAATAATTAACTTAATCTCTGACAGGGAAAAAACATAAGATGAGTCTAGCAGTTAGCAATACAAAAGTACAAGACCATCACGACTTCCTTCCCATTTTGCTCTTCACCCAAACTTTTATCTTTTTAATCTGTACATTCCCATATAACTAATGAACAGAGTCCTTCATGTATGGGTTTTTATATACATGTAAATATAAATGAAGATCCTAAATTCATAAAAACATAAGAATTACCCCCCCACATACACACACACACACACACACACACACGTCAAATGTCACCATGGCAATTTCACTGACAGACGGGGTAAATCTGAAGAGATGCCAAAAGGATTTTCTGAGCTAGGATTATTAAATCAACAAATAAAGTTAAAAACAAGGTAGAATATTCCCAGATACTGGTATCCACAATTCTTAGAAATATAGCAGGCCTCAAAATGTCCATGACTCAGTTTGTCTTGTCAAATTTAGGAGTCACCATAACACGTGTGGGCAGGGCTGCCTTTGAGGGCCACAGATAAGAGTGTGTGGATCTCTAAGCTCTTGGACTGGGATATAAATATAATATACATCAAGAAACACC